TTAGACGTTGTTCGCTCTTGTTGCCCAGGCTGGAGTGCAATGGTGCGATCTCGGCTCACGGTGTGTGAGCCACCGTGCCCGGCCTAAAACAATCATTTTAAAAAATAATTGTCATAAATAAATGTCAAAACCAGGTCTTTTAACTAATATGATCGAGGTGAAACGTCAAGTTAGATATCCCCTAATTAGCCTTCTGAGTCCTCTAACCTGGCACACTCTATCTCACTGTTGGGAGATACATGGGGGCAACAACCTTTCAAACGCCGGAAAATATAATTATCTTTAGAAATCACCAAGATAAATGTGATCAGGCCGATGCGGAACAGGTTCAAGAGACTGTAAATGTGGGAGGCCAGGTTTCGCGACTATTAAACCAGGTGGCTTTTTACTGCAGCATCTCCAGGACAAGTACGAACGAGACTACAGTACGGCACACAATGGGATCATGCTTGAGGCACCCATGGGGCAAAGTAGAAGCAGCAGCAGCAGCAGGAAGCAGCGGGTAAGGAGAGGGGATGCCTGTGTGCCCACGTCTGAAGATAGAAGTAAGCCACCTACTCACACTCGTACTTCCTATTGACTGGCGGATACTTGGCCTTGATCGCCTTCTGTTCCTCAGTCAAATTGTAATCTCTAACATCTTCCTCTTCCTGCGCCATGACTGCTAGGATTAGACACTCTTACTTCCGCCCTTCATCTGCGGGACTTCGGCTCCTGCTACTACTTCCGCTCTAGACTCCGCCCCTTGGCAGACACTCTTAAAGGGCCACATACCGTTTTCAGACTTGACAGCCGACCTACTATAGTCCCTACCCTGCCGCTTGGATGAGAAGTTTAAAAGGCCAAAACCCCATCTTCTGCGCTTCCTTCATTACTAGTTCCTTCTAAAAACTAAGGAAAAACATTTGAAGGGCCCCTTGAATGAAACCCTTCTGGGTCTGAATGGTGAGGTTCTTTTCTCCCTCTCACCCCGAAGATTGATCATTAGACCCGAAGACATTCTGATTTTTCATCTCAGTACTCTGAAAGGGTCGTAAGCTTAACAGCCTTCAAGAAAATGGCTGCCCTCGGGCCGCGGGAGTGTGTGGACTAAACGTCTCACGTGATCCTGGCCGGGAGCAGTCCCGTCAACCCCGGCGCTCGCAGTCGCTAGAAGTCTGCTCTGGCAGGCGTGGGGGGAGGGGCGGAGAGCGCGCCTCGGTCCCGCGGTAAGCTACTCCGCACGTCTGGATAGGTCGCTAACACGGCTTCCCCGCCCACCTGGCCGTTAGGAGCACTCCGATTGGCTGGTGTTGGCGCGAAGGTGCGCGAGTCGGCCCTCACGCAGGGGGCGCAGGAAACAATAGAGGCCCCGCGCGTAGAGCGAGCGCTTGCAGCCTCCCCGCCCCTCCCGCAACGCTCGACCCCAGGATTCCCCAGGCTCGCTTGCTCGCCATGGCCGACAAGGAAGGTGAGGGTACTGGGACCGCCCGAAGAGGGCAGGGGGAGCCGGGACTGCGGCGCGGCCTCGACACGGCCTAACAGTGAGGGCAGGCCCGAGTTTGCAGAGTGCAGTCTTCGGTACCGAAGGCGTGAGGAGAGAACTCCTCTCGGGGCGGGCTAACGGCGCGCCGGTTCCGTAGGACCGACGTCTGTCGCAGCTGGTGAAGCCGGCGGTGGGATCCCCGGCGGGGTGTTTGTTCCTCCTCCCGCCCCCGAAGTCGGTCTCTCGGCCTCTGTCCCGATCCTCGGGACGCCGCTTCCTATCTACAAGGCTTGAAGCTCCGGCCTCTTCGTCGGGCTTGCGAGTTTCTGCGCGCGCGAGCGTGCTCGGAGGGCCTGGCGCCGTGGCCTGGAACGGCTAACGGAGTGTCTGGCGGGCATGGCCCGAGGAGTTCCAGCGCCGCGAAGGTGGAGTGTGGGTGCCCCCGCCGTGGGGATTTAGACAAATCCCCTCCATTTCAGAGTCAGGTTGTAGGAGTCATGCCGGTAGCTTTGCAGATGTTTATTCGGCTTCCGTTTGTTTGCTGACTTAATCTGTTTAAAAAATTTTAGCAGCCTTCGACGACGCAGTGGAAGAACGAGTGATCAACGAGGAGTACAAAATATGGAAAAAGAACACTCCTTTTCTTTATGATTTGGTGATGACCCATGCTCTGGAGTGGCCCAGCCTAACTGCCCAGTGGCTTCCAGATGTAACCAGGTGACATGACTCTCCTGAACGTTATTTTGATGTGTCTTCAGTGTAGATTTCTCATATTGATTTTCTGTTATCCGTTCTTCAGTCACCCGGAGAGGCCATGTGATCAAAACCT